CAGAAGTGGTGCTGAAGTTCAAGTGGTAGAGTGCTAAGCCTTGAGCAAAAGAGCTCAGAGACTGGGCCAGGGCCCTGACTTCCAGCCCACAGGACTGACACAAACAACAACAAACAAAAACCCCAGCAAACTACACTCTGAAATCTGGAGAAGGTACACAGAAGCCCAATCACGTGGCAGAAGTGAAGTGTTGTGGCTGAGGAGCAGGAGGTGTGTGTTTGTGTGTGTGTGATGCAATTTTAGTGGCTCTGCTGATACTAGGACGGAAACTCATTCCCTTTATTTACTTTCTTTTTCTTTTCTTTTTTTCGGTCATGGGGTCTGAACTCTGGGCCTGGGCGCTGTCCCTCAGCTCTTCAGCTCAAGGCAAGCGCTCTACCACTGAGCCACCTTCCCAGCCCTTTATTTTTATTTTCTAGTTCTGGGGAACTTGAACTTGAACTCAGGGCACTGTTCCTGAGATTCTTTTTGCTCAAGACTAGCACTCCACCACTTGAGCCACAGTGCCACTTTCTGTTTATGTGGAACTGAGGAATTGAACCTAAGGTTTCATGCATGCTAGGCAAGCACTGTACCACTAAGCCACATCCCCACATCACTCCTTTTGCTTGTGGGTTTTGTTTTGCTTAATACCAGGAGCAGAATGAGGCTTTCTGATTCACCTTCCACCCCACGCTCTAAATTAGAGGATTTCAAGCTTGGTTTGAAATCTCATATCTAAGAGATTATCTAATCTCCTCTCCTTAATTACTGATTCAAGGAAGGCTTGTGATTTCCCAAGGCCATGTTGCCAGAATAGAACCCAGGTTTCCCAATTCCTTCTTGATGATATCTCACCCCTTGAGGACACGGCTGGTTTACAGTCCCTCTTAGTGGAATATGCAACTGTTAGTTGAATCATGAAAACCTGTATACCCTTAATCCCCATGTTGCTTTTCTACCCATATTTTTGCATTACATGATGTCAGAATATACAGAGTTCTGTCCTATGTTACCTTGTTAGGAAACTTCTCCTCCTTGCCCAAACAGTTTCTGTGTTATATATAAGGCCCACCTTTCAGAACTGAGGTCCCTGTGTTGGCCTGGCCCAGGAGCTTACTCAGCTACCTAAACTCTGGTCCTTAGGGCTTGTCCTCTGCCTTGGGACACCTCATCAGCCATACAGAAGGAAGTGAGTCACTACAAGGCAGGCTGTACGTGAGGCACTATGGGCATGGGCATGCCAGTCTTGGGGAGGGGAGATGGTGATCAGAATCTCCTGGTCTAGCCAAGACAGTGCAGGAATAACATGGTCCTAATGCTGGCTAAGGTCCAGTTTTCCCTTCTCTATCCACTTCATCCATTGTCTCCTGGGGGAGGGGTACATTGTTTTTAATTCTCAGGCCTTCATTATCCTCCTGCCCCCATCTCCTCACTGCTCTAATTAAAAAAGTTCATCAGTCTTCGGTCTTTGCAAGTAAGTATTTAAACATTTTGGAACTGGAAGTAGAGTGTCTACTGAGCAAGCATTAAACAAAAAACCCACAAAAGCTATTTCTAGACAGGTACAGTGGCTCATGCCTGTAATCTTAGCTACTTAGGAGACTTAAGATCAGGAGGATCATAGTTTTGAGGATAACCAGGGCAAAATTGCAGAGCTGCAAGCAATGGTGTACTCCTGTCAGCTTAACTATGCAAACAGTATAAATAGTAAGATATTTGTCCAGCTTGCCCTCTCCCAGCAAGAAGCAAGACCCTACTCAAAAAATGACGGAAGCAGCCGGGCGCTGGTGGCTCACGCCTGTAATCCTAGCTACTCAGGAGGCTGAGATCTGAGGATCGCGGTTCAAAGCCAGCCTGGGCAGAAGAGACTGTGAGACTCCGATCTCCAATAAACCACCAGAAAACCGGAAGTGGTGCTGTAGCTCAAGTGGTAGAGCGCTCGCCTTGAGCTGAAGAGCTGAGGGACAGCGCCCAGGCCCAGAGTTCAAGCCCCACAACTGACAAAAAAAAAAAAAAATGACGGAAGCTGAGCTAGAAGTGTGGCTCAGGTGGTGGAGTGCCAGCCTAGCAAGCAGGAGGTCCTGAATTCAAACCCCAGGACAGAAAACAAACAAAACCAGCCACAGAGCCCATTGCCAGTGCCCCATGCCTGTCATGCTACTCAGGAGGCTCAGATCTGAGGATAGCGGTTCAAAGCCAGCCCAGGCAGGAAAGTCTGTGAGACTCTTCTCTCCAATTGACCACCAGAAAACTGGAAGTGGAACTGTGGTTCAAAGTGGTAGAGCACTAGCCTTGAGTGGGAAATGCTGAGGGTCAATGCCCAGGCCCTGAGTTCAAGCCCCATGACCCCAAACAACACAAAAACACGCACAGATGGGTTATGTCTTAAGAACTGAGGATCTGGGTTTGAAGCCAGTCCAGGCAGGAAAGTGGTAAACTCTTATCTCCAATTTATTATGCAAAAATGCCAGAAGTAAAGCTGTGGCTCAAGTGATAAGAGTGTTAGCCTTGAGCAAAAACGCTTAAGGGCAGCACTCAGGTCCGGAGTTCATGCCGCAAGACTGGTACATAAATATATTTAAATAAACAAGCTAGGGGCTGGGAAGGTGGCTCAGTGGTAGAGCGCTTGCCTTGCATGCCTGAGGCTCTGGGTTTGATTCCTCAGCACCACATAAGCAAAAAGAAAAAAGCCGGAAGTGGCACTGTGGCTCAAGTGGTAGAGCGCTAGCCTTGAGCTGAAGAGCTGAGGGACAGCGCCCAGGCCCAGAGTTCAGACCCCACGACTGGACCCCCTCCCAAAAAAAAAAATAAACAAGCTAATCAATAAACAAAATACAGCCAAAAGGGGTTGGGGGCATGGCCCAAATGATAAAGTTATCTGCCTTGCAAGCATCAAGTCCTGAATTTAAACTCTAATACTGCCTAATGGGAAAGTGTGGTATCTATAAAAACCACTTGAGAAAAGGATCCAGAAGCTAAAAGAGGGGATATAAATAGCACAAAAGTTCCAGGATGGGGGGCTCAGTGGTAGAGCGCTTGCCTTGCATGTCTGAGGCCCTGGGTTCGATTCCCCAGCACCACATAAGCAAAAAGCAAAAAAAAAAAAAAAAGCTGGAAGTGGCGCTGTGGCTCAAGTGGTAGAGTGCTAGCCTTGAGCTGAAGAGCTGAGGGACAGCGCCCAGGCCCAGAGTTCAGGCCCCACGACGGAACCCAAACAACAACAAAAAAAGTTCCAGGATGGGTTGGGACCCAAATAAGAGCCTGGTGAAACCCTGTATGAAAACCCATCTTAGTGAGTAGCAAAGACTCCAGGGGGACACTGGAGAGAATTGGAAGGCTGAGGCAAGGGGAGTCACAAGCCAGTAGAAAGATACAATGTATCATACTTTATGCAGCGTAACACAGGTTAAGCAGGGAAGGAGTTCAAAGGGAGATGGGCGGGCCCAGCCTAGATAGGTGAAAACTGGAAAAAAAAAAAAACATCAGGTAGGCCTGAGGCTTGAAAAGCCTAGAGATCCCTGGGCGATTGATGCAGGGGACAGGTCAGGTCAACTGATTTCCTGAGTGTCCTGGTACAAGGAGGAAATGAACAGTTTGAAGTCAGTCAAACTTCTGCCTCTCTACCCCTCCAAGAAAAGCCTTGGATGGGTAGGGGCTGGTGTTAGGTAATTAGGGTAAATCCTCCTCAGAGAATGGGAGAGAGCTTGGACTTGACTAGATTTTGAAGGACACTGTCACCGGTTTTTCATCTGACAGCAGTAAAACACCAATTTGTTTTTTGTTTTGTCCTTTGTGGGGCCGGAACTCTGGGCCTGGGCGCTGTCCCTCAGCTCTTCAGCTCAAGGCTAGCACTCTACCACCACTTGGTCCACAGCACCACTTGCAGCTTTTTCTGCTTATGTGGTGCTGAGGAATCGAGCCCAGGGCCTCATGCATGCAAGGCAAGCACTCTACCACTTGAACCACCTTCCCAGCCCAACACCAGTTTATTAAAAAAGGAAACAAGTTAGGGGCTGGTTGCTCACACCTGGAACACTAGCGACTCAGGAGGCTGAGATCTGAGGATCCCTGGGCAGAAAATACCGTGAGACTTTTTTTTTTTTTTTTTGGGTCCGGTCGTGGGGCCTGAACTCTGGGCCTGGGCGCTGTCCCTCAGCTCTTCAGCTCAAGGCTAGCCCTCTACCACTTGAGCCACAGCGCCATTTCTGGCTTTTTTCTTTTTGCTTATGTGGTGCTGAGGAATCGAACCCAGGGCCTCATGCATGCAAAGCAAGCGCTCTACCACTGAGCCACCTTCCCAGCCCCATCCCGTGAAACTCTTATCTCCAACCAGCTAACTAGCAAAAAGCCAGAAGTGAAGGTGTGGCTCAAGTGGTGGAGCTCCAGCCTGGTGCAGAAAAAGCCAAATGAGTTCAAGCTCCAGTACCTACAGGGGGTTGGGGGGGGGGGGGGGGGGAGAGGCAACAAGCAAGCAAGGAAGAGTAAGAGTTCTCTCTAAACAAACTCGCCTGTCCCGGCTCCTCGTCACGTCATGCCGCGAGCCACAGCGGCCGGCCCTCCTGGGGTGTCCTCTCCCCAGGGGCGGCGAGACTGCTGTGGGCGGGCCGCGGGGGGGGGGGGTCGGGAGGGGGGAGGGGGCGAGCTCTGCGGGGAACCCGCGGCCCCGGCAGCCCGTCCCCTCCCCCTTCTTTCCCCTCCTGCCTGCCCTCTCCTCTTCTCCCCACTCCCCTTCCCCATTCCTCCCCTCCCTCCCTCTCTCTCTCTCTCCTCCCCTCCCCCCCAGCCCCCCCTCTCCCCTCCCCTCCTGGACGGCCGGCCCACGCCCAGTCTCGCGCCACCCTCGGCGGCCCGCGGCCTTTCTCTCCGGTGCCGGGCTGCGACTCGGCCGGCCTGAGCTCGGCGGGAGGCCGGAGGAGGAGGAAGGGGAGGAGGGAGGTGGAGGAGGCGCAGGAGGAGGAGGAGGAGGAGGAGGAGGAAGGAGGCGGAGGGAGCGGGCCGGCGCGCGCGGGCGGGCGGAAGGGGGAGGAGAGCGCGGGGCCGAGCCAGTCCGGCGGGGCCCGGACCCGGGACTACACACGGAGCAGCGGCTCCCGGCCCACGCAGCCCCGCGACGCCGCCACCGCCGCGTGAGTCGGGTTCCGGGATCCCGGGCGGCGCGCGCGCCGGGGTGGGCGCGGAAAGGCAGGCAGGGGTGGAGGCCAAGTTGGTGCGTGGGGGGGACGGAGGCCTCGGGTGGGGGCTGGGTGGGGAGGGCCGAGGCTCGGGGGTGAGCGCGGGCTGGAAGAGGGGGCGATGCGACCCCGCGGAAGGGCGCCGAGCCCACCGGAGTTGCCGGGAAGGGGCCGTCGGCGGCCGGGGGACCTCAGCCGGGCGCTGGCTCATGGCGGCGGCCCGGGGCCGGAGGGCGGGCCGAGCGCCTGCCGGGAGCGGCCGGGGCCCCGAGCGCCGCCCGGGGGCTGCCTGGCCCGGCGCCTCGGCGTTTCGGGACGCGCTGCCCTGGCTCCGGGGAGCGCTTCGGGGCAACAGGTGGGGGCGGGGATGGGGCGCGGGCCTCCCCCCCAGCCGCGGGCGCCCGCTGGCCGGGGCGTGGAGAAGCCCGATGACCCCAGCGCACATCCCCCAGCGTGGCAGCGCCCCGCGGGGTCGTCCCGGCCCGGACGCGTCCGGGGAGCGGGGGGGGGGGGGCAGAGGCGGCTCTGCCGCCTTCTCTTCCTGTGCCCGCCGTGCCCACTCCGGGCCGAGGTTCAGGCGTCCATGTGCTTAACGGAAAACAGGAAGGAGTGGCCCTGAGCGTGCCCCGGCCCCGAAGGGCTTAGGTAGGGCTCCTCCATACCGTTATGAGCAGTGTGTGGCTGGTTTGGGGAGCAGCTGGCAAAACTGGCTCTCCGGGCCATCGCTGGCTCACGACCGGCCCCGCGGCCCCGCAGGCCAGGGCAGTCGCTGCAGCAGGTGTGTGACATTCACCCTCCGCCTGAGTTTTTATGCCCCAAGCCAGGCTCCTGGCAGCAGAATCCGGCTCTTAACACTTGAGTTATCACGAGCCAGGTGCCAGGCTGTCTTGTCAGAGAAGGAAGGCCCCAGGTAGTCACCCCTACCTTAGAGCAGAGGGCAGGGAGGGAGGGGGTGGGGGCTGCTTTGTTGTTGGTGTTTGAGTGGAGGTGACTGGGTCTGAATGTGAGTGACAGTGTTTGTGATGGACAATGATTTGTCTGCAGCCCTGTCCCTTAGGACCTGGCCCTGACCACATAGTGACCTGCACAAGGGAGAGAAGAAAGTGAGAGAAGTGGTTTTGTTGTTTTCTCTTCTACCTTTTTTTTTTTTTTGGAACTGGGGCTTCAGGACAGACTTTGCCCTGGAAGAGGGATCTCTTTTTCCCACCACTGTGCGCTCCAGGAACACCCCCCCAACACCCTCCAGCCTTTGGCTGCCCCTCCTGGCTCTAGTCTCGGGAGTGTTGGAGGGAGGGGGGCTTTTGATGGATTAACCTGGATGAGCTGTAATCCAGATGAGGCCTGAGGACCACCTCCATCTTGCCCAGAATTTGACCCAAATTTTGGGCCTGTGCTGTAGCCTGGAGTGATGACACACCTCTTGCTGGCTTCACTCATTGCTTGCAGCCTTCTAGTTCATGACCTGCTCCTGTGAGTGGAAAAGAAAGTTTGCAGCAGGGGAGATTATTCAGGATTCTTTCCACCTTTTTTTTTTCTTTTTTTTGCAGTTGCTTCTCCAGAAACAGAGACTGAGACCCTCTTGTTTTCTCTCTCGGCCTTTGCTGACTCTTAGATTTCCTTATTTCTTCAAACTCAGCAGTCAATAGGACTGTTCGGGTAAACATCTGCCTTCTGAGCCTTCTGGGTCTACAAGTTCATCCACCTGGACATAGAGGGGCTTGGGGAGGGGACCATCAGAGTTGGGGCAAAGGTTAGGGCTGGGCAGAGCCCTGCTCAAGTTTCTAGTAATCTAATGCTCATGAAATCCCTGCTCTTTTGGCCCCTATCCAAGGCTTGTGCCTCAGAAAGTAGCACTGTCTCAGGCAGGTGTGTGTGTGTGAGAGAGAGAAAGAAAGATGCACGTACTTGCCCCATTATCTGTGTGTGTGTGTGTATAATAATGGAAAAGTATAGGTGTGGTGGTGGTGTTGTTTTTTCCTGTAAGAAAATTAAGAATTTGCCCTGAGGACTGAGGAGGCTGGAAAATCAGGGTTATCTCCTACACTTCAGTCAACATGACCTTAATTTTTTTGTTTTGTTGTTGTTTTGGTCAGGTCTCGTGTATAGGATGCTTTGTTTGGTGTGCAAGTACCACGAAGACACTTTGGTTGCCATAGGGCGTAGGCTCCTTAGTTGTGTGGAGATGTGGTTTCCAAGTTGCATCCTTTCCCCTTCTATGCAGTCCGAAGTCCTGACCCTGCTCAATCCGGTGCCATCTCCCTGCTAGCTGGGGCAGGCAGTACATCTCTGCTAATGGTGTTCCAGAATACCTGGGAGGGCTGTGGTCACTGAAAGCCTGAAACCCAGGTGTGCGGGCGGCCGCATGAATCCCGACACATCCTGCTCCCACTTTCCCTGCTTGGAGAGGAAAGGACAAGTGCCAGCCTGTCCAGGGCTGGACAGAGGTGCACTATTCAGTTGTTTGCCTTGACCATTCGCTCACACCTACTCTGTCCATTTACTTCACATTCTAGGTGTAGACAAGATACTTTTGGGCCCCAGGAGGCTAGGGGAGAGGCTCCAGCTATCTCCAACCCCCGCCCCCCCCCCCCCCCCCCCCCCCCCCCCCCCCCGCCTTTCTAGTCCCTAACCCTCAAAATGCCCCTGACCAAAGAAACATCCCTATGAGTTTCCACTTCAGAGTGGGACGGACGGATGGGCGCAAGGTCTAGGCCCGCCTGCATCTTTGGCTGTAGGTCTCATTGGAAGAAAAGTTGGGACTCTAGGACCCTAGCAGTCAGAGGACTAGGTCAGATAGCATTCCCCATTCCAGTGAGGCTAAAAAAAAGATTGGGGGTGGGTGGAGGAGGTGTGCAAATGGCATTGTCCTTTCTCTTCAGTTTTCTACTTTTCTGTAGGAAGAATGTTTGCTTGTGTGGGGAAAGTTTCACCATGAGCAATTATATTTAATTTTGTTCAGTTCAAAAAGCTTCCATCTCTTTTAACTAATTAAATATTTATTCTGGCTGAGGTGGAGGGGGAAAGGGTAGTAGTGCCTTGGGTGCTGTGGCTTGGAATGTGTATGACTGAGAGGGCTCCACAAGGGGGGAGGTGGAGTTGAAGCTTCTTTATTGTCAAATGCTGACCTCTGATTTCATCCAAGAGAGCAGTGACCAGCAGTTGGGGACAAGAGGGTAAAGTCCTTGAGCTGGAATACTGACCCGTGACAGGCTGAGAGGGATTTCGCAAGGGTTTCTGTGGAGAGCAGGGCGGAGCTGGGAGAGCTGATCGGAACTAGGACCAGCCCAGCTCAGCTATGGGCTGAGGACTTGGCCTGCCTTCTGCCGGACCCATTGGCCTCTGCCACCTCCATTCATGGTGGAAAAGCTCTGTGCACCCTTTCCTAGCTGAAAGAAAAATCACTTTTCTTTCAAGCCAATCTGAATACTCTCCCTTTCCTCTTGGGAGGAGAATAGGGGGGAGGAGCCTGAGCAAGACCTCCCTGGCTGCCCTGCCCTGCTCCCACAACTGCCAGGGGTTGCGCTCCACCCTGCATCCTGACTTTCCAGAGCTGTCTTATTGCATCTCTGAGCTCCAAGCATCTACTGTCCCTCCATGAACCACAAACCAGTCCCTTCCTCAGCTGAGTGTCTAGTTGGTCATGCCTGTTCAATGGTCCCTTTATCTTTCCGTGGAGGGAAGGGGAGAAGCACTAAAGCAACAGCTCCTTCCTGGGTTGAGGAGTGTTTAGGATGGGTCTTCCTGCAAACTATTTTATGTACTTTGCATGAAAGAGCCCCCGAGAAGTGGGGGACTGAGAAGGAGAGAGCAATAGAAGGGGTTCCTCTGGTTAACATAGAATACATGCACGTGCAAAATCCTTTGGTAATACGTCCTTAAGAGAAGTGAATGACGGGAGAGTAAAGCAAGTTCCATTGGAGAACAGGTGTCAGCAGGAGGGAGAGGGCGTGAGTGAGGACGATTATGTTAAAGTACTTTATATACATGTATGAAAATAATGAGCTGGAAGGCATGGCTCAGCTGGAGCACCTGCCCAGCAAGCACAAGGCCATCATGAATTCAAACCCCAGTTCTAGGAAAAGAAAGAAATTAGAACAATGAAACGACTTTTTTTTTTTTTTTTGGTCGGTCGTGGGGCTTGAACTCTGGGCCTGGGCGCTGTCCCTCAGCTCTTCAGCTTAAGGCAAGCAAGCACTCTACCACTTAAGCCACAGCCTGCCCGAGCTGGCTTTGAACTGTGATCCTCAGCTCTCAGCCTCCTGAGTAGTTCGGATTCCAGGCATGAGCCACCGGCTTGACACTGTTGTAAGAAGAGGGGGTTGGGGGTAAGGGAGAGTGATGAGGGGTGAAGTTGGTTGGTGACATTGTATGCAGGTATGGAAATGTCACAATGAAACACCCCCTTAAGCAACTGACGGAAGCTAATAATTAAAAAACAGACAAGCAACTTAGAAATAGCTTGAGTGGGGCATGATATCACCTGTAGTCTCAGTGCTGGGGTGGTTGTGGCAGGAGGCTTGCAAGCCTGAGATCCATAGCAAGACTTGATCTCAGGAAATGGAAAAGAAAGGGCTGGGAGTGTGGTTTAGTGGTAGAGTGCTTTGCTAGCATGCGCGTTTGGGGCCCTGGGTTCGATTCCTTGGGACCACATAAAAAATAAAAGGAAAAAAAAGCTTAGTTCCATTAGATAAAGATGGCTGGCTTCCCCCTGCGTTTTCTGGCCTTCAGCCTTCACTTTGTAAAGAGGCTCGTTGACCGGCTCCCTTGGCGCGTGTGGCCCATCACTTGTCTGCAGCGTCAGCTCTGCGTGCCGTTGTCTCGCGCTTTCTGCCCGTTCTGAAGGTTGTACTGAAGGACTGACTGACTTACGTTGGCACGGTACAGGGTTCTTTTCTCTAGGTTGTAGGGAAGGGGAGGAAGCTTTTGCCCTAGTCTTCTGTTCTTGGGCTTTCTTCCTGCCCCCTGCTCCAGGGCAGCTAAAGGGTAGCCTTGAGAGTAAGGTGAGGAAAGAGAGCTTCTGACTTTAGATAGTTCCTTATCCTCCAGGTTGAGATAGCAAAATGACAACCAAAGGCAAAAGTGTGGGTGGGGGGAAAACACTGTGGGCTTTGTGCTTCTTAGGCAGATACTCTACCACCTGAGCCACACACTCAACCCTCCCCCCCCCCCTTTTTTTTTCTCAGTTGTGGGGCCTGAACTCTGGGCCTGGGCCCTGTCCCTCAGCTCTTCAGCTCAAGGCTAGCGCTCCACCACTAGAGCCACAGCGCCACTTTCAGTTTTTTCTGGTTATGTGGTGCTGAGGAATCAATCCCAGGGTCTCATGCATGCAAGGCAAGCACTCTACCACTGAGCCATCTTCCCCCTCAACCCTTTTTTTTTGGGGGGGGGGGGGGGTCCGGTCGTGGGGCCTGGGCGCTGTCCCTCAGCTCTTCAGCTCAAGGCTAGCGCTCTACCACTTGAGCCACAGCGCCACTTCCGGCTTTTTTTTTATGTGGTGTTGAGGAATCGAACCCAGGGCCTCGAGCATGCAAGGCAAGTGCTCTACCACTAAGCCACCTTCCCAGCCCTCAACCCTTTTTTATTTCTCTCTTCCATAGAGTTTCACTTTTACTCCCAGGCTGGCTTGGACCATGGTCCTCCTGCTTATTTATGCTTCTTAGGTAGCAAGGATGACATGCCCAGCTTTTATTGGTTGAGATGGGGTCTTGCCAACTTTTTGCCTGGGCTGGCCTCAAACCTTGATCCTCTCAATCTCTACCTCAGAGTTACTAGGATTACAGGTATGAACCACTACACCTACTGCAAAGTTCTTTTTTTTTGGCCAGAATTGGGGTTTGAACGTGCTTGTTCAAATTGTATTCTACCATTTGAGTTGCTTTTAGCTGGTTATTTTGGAGATGGAGCCATGTGCACTTTACTGCCCCTCCGGCCTTGAAAAGCAGTATTCCCAGATCTCAGCCTCCTGGGTAGCTGGGATGCAGGTGTGAATCACTGGCACCCAGCCACCAAGGTTCCAAAGACTTCTTTGATGTCAGCGTCATAAACAGTATTTTTTAAAAATTGTACAGAGGGGTTATACTTACACATCAAGTAATGACTTCTTTTTGAACTGTGTCACCCCTCGCTGTCATTTTCTTCCAATATAAACAGTAAATGTTAAGCCTCTACATCTCAGATGAGAAAATCGATTTGTTCCAAGGCCACATGGACAGGACCAAAATCAAAAAAGAGCAGCTCCTGCTCTTTTTGTGCCATTCTGGGGCTTAAATTCAGTGCCTCATGCTCTCGATTATTTTTTTCTGCTCAAGATCACATCCTTGTCTTTTTGCTAGTTAATTGGAGATAGGAGGCTTGCAATCCCAGTCTCCTAAATAGTTGGGATTACAGGTGAAAGCCATCAGTGCCTGGAAACCCCTTGGCACCTTTTGATATGCTAAGAAAGCTTTTCTTCATCTCTTTCCCCACAGGTACCCCCTTTTGACATTCTCTTATTACTTCTCACTTAGGATGCTCCAGACCTTGTATGATTACTTCTGGTGGGAACGGCTATGGCTGCCTGGGAACCTAACCTGGGCGGATCTAGAAGATAAAGATGGACGTGTCTATGCCAAAGCTTCAGACCTGTATATGACACTACCCCTGGCCTTGCTCTTCCTCATCATTCGATACTTCTTTGAGCTGTGAGCATACCAGGCGGCCTCATACCTTTCTCAGTAGCCTGTCATACAGTCTATTGGACTTCACCTTTGTTTCTTGCTATCTAGTTCTGGACTGTGTTCTGGCCCTTCAAGTCCCTGCCTACTGTGTCCCCCACCCCCCCTCCCACCCCCAAGGCACCATTGTCTTCTGAGGGCTCGGCACCCCTAGGCCCTTTCCCTTCAATGGTTATTTGTTATTACCCTCCACCCGCTACTGCCTGGCCAGTAGTAAACACAGGCGGCTTTGTAAGCTATGGACAGCCCAGTAGCCCAGAAGAAAGGGGGTTGCCAGGAAACTGGGGAAACTGAGGTCCAGAAAATAAGTTATCTGAACTTGGGAGTCCTTTCTCCCTTCCTAGTTTAGGGAAGTGCTCCAAGAAAGCCAGACACATCTCTGTCATGTCCTTTCCCCAGTTATGTGGCTACACCACTGGCTGCCCTCCTGAATGTAAAGGAGAAAACTCGGTTACGAGCGCCTCCCAACCCCACCTTGGAGCATTTTTACCTAACCAGTGGCAAGCAGCCCAAGCAGGTACAAGCTGCAGACTGTGCTCAGGCTCTGTGAGTTCCTGGGTTCTGATGTGAAGGCTAGCCCTGGTGGGTGGAGACCATTAGGATGCTAGGGTGGATACTGGGAGAGGTTGGGCCAGTGCGGGAGCTGTTTATTCTGAGGCAGAACGAAATGACTTTTTTACTACACCCAGATAGAAGTGGAGCTCTTGTCCCGGCAGAGTGGGCTTTCTGGCCGCCAGGTAGAACGCTGGTTCCGTCGTCGCCGCAACCAGGACCGGCCAAGTCTTCTCAAGAAGTTCCGAGAAGCAAGGTGCAGCAAGTTGGGGCAAATGAAACTGAGGGGCAGAGAGGTGCTGTTCCTTGCTGGGAGGGGTGGGTCCTGGCAGTTGGCAGTGGCAGACGAATTCAGTCACTCACAGTGCTATCAGAGTCTCTGGGAGCACTTGGGAAGTGTTGGGGGCTGTGCCATTCCCTCCCTAGCCAGTTCTGCTTCCTCTTCCAGCTGGAGGTTCACATTTTACCTGATTGCCTTCATTGCTGGCATGGCCGTCATTGTGGATGTGAGTTGGGGTAACTGGGAAGTGGGAGTAAAAATTCTCTGGCAGAGTGGTTGAGGCCATTAGTAGTACTTGAGGTCCTTGGTCTTCTAACCTCTCATCATCTTTCTGCAGAAACCCTGGTTCTATGACATGAGGAAAGTTTGGGAGGGATATCCCATACAGGTATGAAGTAGGCCCCTTTATAGGGGTGGCTAAGACATTCACACCCTTGTGAAGATAGTGTAAACACACAGTAGAGTAATTCAGTCATTGAACTGTGAATAACCCTAGGAGCTAGAAGGGCTGGGCTTGGAGAGGTGAGCCCCCCGAGACTTGTTGCTCTGGGGCTCACCTCTCTCTCCTCTCCCAGAGCATTATCCCTTCCCAGTATTGGTACTACATGATTGAGCTTTCCTTCTACTGGTCCCTTCTCTTCAGCGTTGCTTCTGATGTCAAGCGAAAGGTGGGTGAAGGGGTTGCACAATTAAATCCAGCAGCCTCACTTGGCTTCTTTTGGGTTCTGTGGGCTTTGGAAGGAGCTGTTGGGATCTGAGTGGAATGGAAGGTGGTGGGAGGAAGGAATAGTGGGAAGTTGAGGAGCAGGAAAAAGTTCCCTGGAGCCGGAGTCTTTTCTGCAGGATTTCAAGGAGCAGATCATCCACCACGTGGCCACCATCGTTCTCGTCAGCTTCTCGTGGGTTGTCAATTACATCCGTGCGGGGACTCTCATTATGGCTCTCCATGACTCTTCTGACTACTTGCTGGAGGTTAGATTTCTTTCAACTGGAGGCTCCAGTGCTTGTTCTTCAACTGGGGCGATGGGGAGGGGGAGTGACATTCCTGGGGCTGAGTTAGGGGGAGGGGCACGGAGCCAGTACTGCTAACAGGGTGTACATGAGAGTGTATGTGGGAGAGTCAGGGACACATGATGATAGACGAGGCTATTTATGCAGTCAGCCAAGATGTTCAACTACGCGGGATGGAAAAACACCTGTAACAACATCTTCATCGTCTTTGCTGCTGTTTTCATCATCACTCGGCTAGTCATCCTGCCCTTCTGGTAAGTAGGTGGTCAGACTATACTGTGGTCAAGAATGTAGAAGTCTTGCCTTTCTTCCCCTCATTTATTCACCCTCCATCTTTTTCCCCTTCTGTGTTTACAGTTCTATTTCCCCTTTAATCCTTAGGATGCTGTACTGTACCGTGTTGTATCCGCTGGAGCTCTATCCTGCTTTCTTTGGCTATTACTTCTTCAATATCATGATGACAGTGCTACAGGCGCTACATATCTTCTGGGCCTACCTCATTTTGCGAATGGCCCACAAGTTCATAACTGGAAAGGTGAAGATGTTTATAGGCCTTAAATCTTTTAACTCTTTAGAATTTTAAACTTACATTCCAGCAAACCCTTTTGAAATATGTAACTCCTCTTATCCCTTTTTCACAGCTGGTAGAAGATGAACGCAGTGACCGTGATGAAACAGAGAGCTCAGAGGGGGAAGAGGCTGCATCTGGGGGAGGAATAAAAAGTCGGCCCCTAGCCAATGGCCATCCTATTCTCAATAACAACCATCGTAAGACTGACTGAACTGTTGTCCCACCGGTTCCCCACATTAATGCATAAAGCCAAGGAACCAGCCAACTTTCAAAGTAGGGTCTATTTAAGTTCTGGGGACTAAGGAGAAAGGGAGAGGAGACTTCTTTGTGTTCTCCCTCCTCCTTTTACCACCCAGTTGCCTTTAAACCAAATTGTAACCAGCCAATTCCCAGGTAGAGGAGGCTGGTTATATCCTTTGTTAGAGGGGGGGATGGTCATATTTTCCTCTCTATTCTCCCAAGTTATTCTTTCTATTGCTTTTGAGACCTCAGCTCTAGAGGTGGAGGTTATAATTCACATTCCTTACCAAGAATTGGCTCTAGTTGTTTGCCTCTGACTCCCTGCTTGAAGTCGGGGTTGTGCCTTATTGCCCCACCTGTGGGCCTCATTCTGCCAAAGCTGGACCAAGGCTCATCTTTCTAAGCTCCCAAACTTGGGCCAGAAACCAAAGCTGAGCTGACTTTTAACTTTTTCTCTCCCCACACATGAGTTGACTGTAGGAGAGCATATGTAACCCTTCCCACACCTCTGCCAAAAAGTGGGGCTACACTGCGGACTGTGCAGATGGTCTTTGTGTTAATTCTCTGCTAGCTGTTCCTTTAACCATAGGTCCAAGATCTTATTGCCTCCTTTCTCTGATCTCTCTTCTCTTCTTGTTTAGCTGGTTTGAAGTAAATGACAACTAGTTCTAATTTTTATTTATTAAACATTTGGGGTTTCAGTTTTAAAGCTAGAACTACAGCTAGCACCTGGCATTTCAGCAGAGGGACCATTTCAGACCAAAATGTACTGTTAATGGTTTTTTTTTTAATTAAAATATATTAAAGATTAAATAAAATATGGTAACAAGCGTCCGACTATTAGGAATTAAGAAAGGGGAGCAACTAAATAAAGTAAAAGTCTTTCTTATGCCTTCCTTGCAGTTATGTAACATTTTCTTTTTAAAATTTCACATGGCAAGTAAGAAAACAAAAGTAGAGAAAGTACAAGATTATGACAGCTGCCTATTGTAAAGGATGGGGAAACAGATCTTTGACTAAAGATCCAGAATTGGGATATAGAGACTGAGGGAGAGAAATAAAATCAAAATCACAATCTTCTTGCCAAATCTTTGAAGAACCAGTACAAACCAGGGATAGGCAGATGCACAGACCTGGTTTATCAGAATAGGGACACTTGTACAAAGAGATAGGAGGGATATCAGGCCCAGGCTAGAGTGTTAAGTCAATCCCTCAATCCTTCCCTATTCTATCGCTCTATAAATCAAGAAAGGGACCTTGCCTGCTAGCACCACAATGGAAGAGCTCTCCTGATCCAGTCTCCCCATTTCTACCTACTAAGAGCTGGGGAGTAGCTAGACCAGAGGCTTGCTTAGGTCAGAGTTCAACAGTCAGGAAGACCCAGTTCCTGAGGAAAAAGACAGTTCAAGAAGGGTTCTGAACATGAGGAGGGCTCTCCTCTAAAGAAGCCGGCCTCTGCATTCAATGGCTCCACAGCAGCAGAGCAGCTCCTTGCCTTCCACACTACCCACTTCATAGTTGTAGTCCCAAGTAAGTTCTGTCCCAGCTCGGATTCTCCTGGAGAGGGAAAAAAGGACATGGTGTGGTAAAGGTAGCAGATAACACAGGCACCTGCAGTTACAGAGTGTAGAGTTGGAGATTTGACCAGACACAATGCTAAGAGTCCTTAGGATTTCAATAGTTCTCACCCCTCCCCAAACAATCCCTCTTCCTACGTCCTCTTACTTGCTGGCAAAGAAGGCCACCCAGGGGAAGCGAAGATCGTGGGTATCCACAAAGACATTCTGGACAAACAGGTTGGGACTGCAACTGTGCTGTAAGTATAAGGATGGTATTGAATCAGAACCACAGAAATAGAATCTGGTTTTGTGGGGTGAGTTAGAAAGTAAATGATATCTGACCCTCCCCATTACAGCAGAGATGTTTTGAAAGAAAGCTACCTCTTAAGATTCTTTGAAGTCAATTTATAAGAAAAGGTGGCTTTATATAGGATGTTAACAGTAGAAATTTAAGGACTGTGGGAAAATCCCAGTCTAGAAGTGGGGGAAAAGATCTCACATTGAGGTAGCGACCCAGGTTGCCTTCCAGCTTGGCATCAATGATGTAGCAAGACTCTTCACCATCATAGAATTGGCGTGTGTTCTTTCGAACAGGTGCACTCTCTCCCTTGTCCACAGAGGCCATGTTGGTTGACTTAATGGCAATCCCATGGGTTGATTTAAGAGCGAAGCCTCGGGTTGATTTAACTGCCACCTGGCGCTTTGTTGGACCTGGACAGGAAGAATGGGGTTAGTGCCCATCCTAATTTGTCATTCTGCCCCCCCCCCTGTTTGTTTTTTTTTTGGGGGGGGGGGAGGTCAATAAGTGGGGTTTGAACTCAGTTTCATCCCAGCTTCCTGAGTTGCTAGGCTAAATGGCAGTTTGTTTTTAACCAGTCCTAGAGGTTGAACTCAGGGCCTGGGCACTGTCCCTGAGCTTCTTTCTGCTCGAAGCTAGCGCTCTAGGGCTGGGAAGATGGCTCAGTGGTAGAGTGCTTGCCTTGCATGCCTGAGGCCCTGGGTTCGATTCCTCAGCACCACATAAGCAAAAAGAAAAAAGCCAGAAGTGGCGCTGTGGCTCAAGTGGTAGAGCGCTAGCCTTGAGCTGAAGAGCTGAGGGACAGCGCCCAGGCCCAGAGTTCAGGCCCTACGACCGGACCCAAAAAAAAAAAAAAAAAAAAAAAGCTAGCGCTCTACCACTTGAGCCACAACACTACTTTTTCTGTGTATGTGGTACTGAGAATCAAATCCAGGACTTCATGCATGTGAGGCAAGCACTCTATCACAAAGCAGAATTAGATCTAGACAAAGAAGCTAGGGAAAAAAGGAAAAAAAAGAGAGGAAGATTACTTGTTAAAGAACAACAGTTAGATTAGTCAGGGAGCCCTCCAGTGATGCCTGGAGTCCTAGAATCTGTGTTTTTTCCCCCTTCTTGGCTTCCTTCAAAAATACTCTATTTCTACTTTGCTCCTGTTTCTTCCTCCCACTCCCGCAATTTTTCAAGACTACCAGACATGTTCTTCTTGTCCTCAAAGTCCTCCCCTTCTGAGCCAGAGGAGATGGTTTGGATATCATCACTGTCAACTGCTGCGTTTGAAGTCTGCCCTGCAGTGGGCTTGCGGCTTGTGCCACTTTCCCCCTCACTTTCTGTGCTGCTGGAGAGTGTCAGGACATCCTAGGGACACAAAGATAAGAAAAAAAGAAAAAGTAAATGGGAGTCTGTTTCAAGCCTTTGCAATGTAAGAGCTACTTTGCTCTGTAAGAGCTAAGCTCTAACAAGATTAGAGATGGGATGAAAGTAAGGTAGAAGAAGCAAGGAAAGACTTAACAGTAATTCCATTAGTTGATATGCAAGATGGCTCCATGCTTTTTCACTTAACTCTGGATAAAACAGAAGGCTGGGTAAGGCATTGCTCAAAAAGATCACTTACATCAGGGTTGGCATGGGCAGAGGCCATGAGTCGCCGACTCTGATGCATATTAGTCTTACTAGATGGACGGCGAAGTCCTTCTGGCTTCACATGAGGATTATAACCATAATTCCGAGAACTTTCAGTAACTCTGATAGGAGGGAAAGAAATCAGGAGCTCAGGTCACTGGCTTGAGAAGAGAGGGCACACTTGGAAGCAAGTCAAATGACAAATACTTACACTGACACCTTGTTTCGATCATCAGGATCCTAGAAAAAAAGGTGAAACGTTAACAAGGTAGCAAATCCAGTAATTTGACTTCATTTCAAATGATCTTCAGAGACAACCAACAAAGGTACATTGTCTAAATTGTGGTGGGGTGGAGAAATCACTTGGCAATTTGACAGCAACAATCATACTGCAACAATACTGTTCTATCACTTATTTCTCCCCGCAGAACTCTTTAACACTTTCACAATGATGGGACATAATCCTCACAGGAAAAATACTATGACCAGAGTCTAACAAAAGACCCAGAACACTTTCATTACCTGCAATGTATTAACTGTCAGTATGATATATTTGAAATCAGTTCATTTTCTTTTTTGGAACTGGATATCCTTATGTACAGTCCAGGCTGGCCTCAAACTTCTGGCTTAAATGAACTTCCTCTTTAAACTCTGCCGCTTTGCTGGGCACTGGGTACTCAGGAGGCCCAAGATCTGAAGATTGTGGTTTGAAGCAAAGCTGCCAGGCAGGAAAGTCTGTGAGTCTCTTGATAGCCAGAAAACTGGAAGTGGCAATATGGCTTCAAGTGATAGAGCACTAGCCTTGAGCACAAAAACTCAGGGGCAGTGCTCAGGCCTTGAGTTCAAGCCCCATAGTCAACAAAATCAAAACAAAAATTCCCTGGCTTTGAGCTATCTATTTTAGTAAAAGCAATCAATGATGTAGACAAACTGAAACACCTTTTCTGGGTGTGCAAGTACTGGAACTTGGTGCCTCAGGCTCTCACTCTGCTGGCACATTTGTAACCCAGTATTTTTACTGGTTACTTGAAGATGGGATCTTAAAGACTTTTTGGGGGGGCTGGCTTTGAACTACAATTCTTTGGGTTTAACCCCAAATAGCTAGGATTACAGGCATAAGCCACCTGCCTATTTTTAAAACACCACTTAAAAAATAATGCCACCAGATGCCTAAAATCCTAGTTACTCAAAAGGCTGAGATCTGAGGATGAAGGTTCAAAGCCAGCCTGGCAGAAAGTCTGTGAGGCTTTATCTCTAGCTAACCACCCCCAAAAAAAGCCAGGAGTGGAGCTGTGGCTCAAGTGGTATAGTGCTGGCTTTGAGCTAGCAAGGTTTAGGCTAGCACCTCCAGACCTTGAGTTCAAACCCCTGGATTGGCCAAACCCTTCCCCAGCACAAGGAAAAAGAACTCCATATAAATCTTTTGGATAAATCTAAATCAGACACTCTCCCTGAGGAAGTGGATTTTAAGGTAATTCTTTGTTGGTGGTACTGGGGCTTGAACTGCCAGGCAGATG